AAAATAGGTATCAATTACAAAGATGACATGTAGTAAATGTTCTATGTTTGGAAAGTTTGTTCGTAAGTATCTTTCAGGGAAATATCAAAAGATGCTCACCAAACCATGGATGGTATTATTGTGTATTTGCAGGGGAAGAAGCATATGATAGATTAAGCAATATATTGGAGGACTCAAAGTGGAGTGTTTGTGAATATAAAAATTGGCAACAAACTTGGGTGATTTTAGTATCTCAAGACTCAAATCAGTTATATAATTTTTCTATGCAGCCAAAGATAGAAATTTATTGGAAATATAGGCAAATAAAAGATGAAACAAATTATATTTCAGAAGCAGGATACATGTCTTTAAGTTTTGTAATTGATCAAATATATTTTTAAAATATTGCAATTAAATCTAATAATATTTATTTATAATTTGTAATTTTAATTGTTCTATCTTTTTTAAAGAAAGTAAGAACATTGTGTATATAAAAAAAAAGTAATCAATTTTCAAATTCCATTATTTCTATAAAGTGCTGACTTTCGTATTTTACCAATTTCACTATCCTTTAACATTTTTTGAAAAAAATGTAAAACATGTTGATGATTCTTTTTTTCTACTGCTGAGCAGGAAAATGCTTGCAAACAAAAGGCCTTATATATAGTAAGAAATTCTAGAATATGGACACTAAGGTATATATATAGGGTGTTATATTATTAGGCCTATATAAGTCTTTAACAAATATTGCAGGAGAATTTGGATTTCCTAAAGAACATGTTAAAAATAAGTTAAGCCAATCTAATGCTTTTTTTTTAAATTCAGGTCCAGATACTCAAAACTGATGAATAACTTGGTATAATTCATGAAATTCATTTCATAATTGACATATTTGTAAGGCACGATTAAGATCTTTAAATAAAATATTTAGGTTAAAGTTCTTTAATACTTTAAGTTTATCTTCACTATTTAATGAATTAGATTTCCATGTTTTACTTTCTGGATCCTCCCACCAATGAAAATTAACTTGGATGCATTTCATTTCTTGGCTAATTTTTAATCGAGTATTTATATTTGTTTTGATTTGTATTTCAGCTATTAAAAGTTGCCATAAACGATCAGTAATTCATAATATGACATAAAGCTCATCAACAATCTAATTCATTAGTGGTATCATATAAAATAATAGTGAATATTTATATCCAGGTATAGTTAAATAATTATTATAAATATTATTGATATGTTTTGAAATATTCCAATTGTATGTCTGATCTCCATTTTGATTTTTGTGAATATTACACCAGAGACAAAAATAATCAGAATTTGCAGCTTTATGTCCCATACAGAGTGCTATAAACTTCCAGTCAGCAGAAAAATATAATTGAATTTGCTATCTTTGAACTTGTTTATCCCAGTAACTATTTACAATTTC